AAATATTTTTCCCTCTAAACTTTTAAAGAGAAAATATGGCATTTCTTTCTTTAGAGTAGAAAACAAAAATGTATTCTTAAGTTGTATAAAGCAGTCTATATATAGCAAAAAAACATAAATAAGTTTACAATCGATACCTTCTGGAAAAACTGCATCAACTTGTTTGCATAAGGAATAACTTCAGTGACCCGTGCAATGAGACTAGCGATTGTATTCAATACTTGCACCTGAACGTGAAGTTTATGGAAACAAATGTTAAATAGATAACTTGGTCTATAATATTATCGAGGAAAGTATGAGCCACGTAAAAGCAAAAAGCACGTTGAGAATTTGAATTGGACTAGAGAAGAAGTTGCTACAGAATTAGGGCATTTTCTACTGCAAGTAAATCAATTAATTAATAATTGCAACAGACAGACCACATAACAAAATGAGATGTGACCCAGTGACTTCATAGCACTAGGAAATAAATCATATTTCTTCTTAAATATTTACTCTTATCATTTGTTTATTCTAACGAGATTTTATTCTTCATTGAATTATAATTTTAGGTCACTCACCTTCATGTCAAGTACTAATCATTAGTTCCTAATACAAATTTAAATTTAATAATAATATTTCAGGGGCTAGACATGTCAAAAAAGTCATGAAAGCATCATGACTAACTGTGTCCCACAAACAACTGACCAACACTGGAAGTTTTGTAGATATATTTGCGCTAGATGGTAATAGACTTGCATAAAGAAACCGCCTGTCGGTAAAAATCTATAACAGACCAAGACAACACAAAACAATGGCAGGAAGTTTCATAACTAGGGCTTTGGATGTACATCAGAATCTAGATCCATTAGTTAAGAATAAAGCTAGTTATTTCCTTCCAATAAAAAGCGTGACAAAAAGCTGGATATAAATTTGTGAAATTTGTGCCATTTTTAAGCATTAGCTCACAAAACAATAAGTATCCAAAAATTACAGACGACAGATAAATGCATTTTTTGATACATAGAGATACACCAATTGAATGTTTAAAAAATCTAAAGAAATGATTTGCGCAAACTGAGTTGTTGAAAAATACATAATAATATTTCCCTGGATTACGCCACCATAAGGAATAACTTTCACAGCATCATTGCAGGGTGATTATTACAAAGTTGTATTGGTCATGAATATGCACTGACTAATTGTACAATAACACCTCAACACCAAATGCCAAAGCCTATTAGAAAAAATAAAGACTAATGTAAAATAACTAAAATGTATTTAGCATGTGATATAACAGAATTATGAGAAAGCAGAGCAATAGGTAAGCCCGTGAAGGATTACATTCATAACTTAAAATGAACTTATGACAGCTAAAGCTCTACTCTATTTGGCGTCGCTCTTCACGTTACTGTGATATCATTTTAAGGTTAGGACACCTGAATATATGACCTAACCCAGATGAAGATCAAAGTCAAACATCAACTACTGATTCTAAGACTCGTGAACAATATCAAATACTGTTGTCAGAAACCATTTTCTTGCTAAAAATTTACTGTGCAAAAGAGCACAGCTCAAATACACCCAGAATTATGCAGGACGTCAATATCAAATCCTTTCTCAACAGTAAAAATTACACTCAAATAAGAATTTGTTGGGCTTCTCTGACACTTTGTTGAGGGATGGAAACAATTATCTGTAAGAAATATAAGATAACCAATGAACTACATTAAACGAAGAAACAAATAAGTAAAAATTACCGATCTCCAATAGGCTCTTTATTGACCCAATCTTCTTTATTTTATAGTCAATCCTCATTTTGAGGAGTCCAACAAACTATGTATCTAATAATAAAAATAAAGAGTGAATTCGACTCTCCAAAATGTAGAGAACGAAACTTACTCTCTATAACACTTGTAATGATTTCATTCATTATTTCACAATTTTCTATTCATTTTTTGGGAGGGAAGCATGTAAATGAAAGGAGGAAAAAGGTTGAGCCCTAGTTCCTAATAGAAAAAACCCAAAATAAAGAATAAATATAGTGTGTTGTTGAACTTGTATAAAAACCACTCTTTATTTTTGAAAATTCTTAAAGATACTCTTTATATGGGAAAATATGTTCTTTAATATAAAGAACATTACTGAAGATGCATATTGAAATCTCAAATGCCAGAAGACGTGATCCATTCCTCTTAAATTGAACTAGGGTATAGCTAGTAGCCAAATCTAACGAGTGCAATAATAAAATGAGGCACCCAACACAGCAACGCAGAAAAGCTAAGGATTAAACGAAAATTTCAAATCCAGAAAATGGAAAAGTGGGATGCATGATCAACATAAGCCAGAACAGAAAGTATACAATTTACCTTAGAGTCGAATTCCTGGACTTCCTCTACCAGTTTGAAACATGAATCCCAACACACTGGAAGAAGATCCAAAAAATCTTGCTCCAAGAAATTTGCATCTTCAATATGGAAATACAAGGACCGTGATGCTGCCAACTAAAAATCAAGAAAGAAGAACTTCAACAATTACGCAGACCAAATCAAAGCAATTTAAAATAGATTTTTGAAAAAAGGTGAAATGACGGGAAAGACTAAACGTTTGAACAAAGTGTAATATACCCTGACGCACAAGTCTCTTTCCTGAAGCAATTTGATTAAAGCACAGTATACTGGTCTTCTGGTGTCATCTTTAATCTGCGGAGAAAGCAAACAAGACAAACAAATTTTCAGAAAACTAGTTACATAATAAAAGAAAAATAAAGAAACTTAAGATTTAATCCAGCCTAGTGTAACAAACAACCATGCTGTTTTATTGTTGATAGATATGCAGTCTCATTAATCAGGCTGTCAAAAGGTCAAATGATAAAGTGAAAATTTGGCAAAGCCCGAGTCTAACCCAGTTATATACACTGAAATTCAAATCTAAATCCTGCTGAAGACAAAATGTGATCCGACCCAAGTCTGATGGATCCTAAAATAGTACTAACACGGTGATAAAATAGATGGAGTTCAATTATATCTTGCACATGGAAAGAATCGTTAGAAATAAATTTAACATGCACGCATTCTCTTTTATTGAGTAATGAAATATGTAAACTAACTTGCCTTATGATCATTATAATGAGCTTAAAGTATATTATATTTTCTTGCGGAAGGAGAACGCAAATGAAGATTACGGCAAACACAGGGCATAGTCCACTGATGGATAGCAATTCAACCTTAACTTTGGTTTATACGTGAATTATGATGGATATCGAAGTTAGACTTTTAGTGAAACCTGAATTCGAGTGGAAGTCCAACTGCAATTTAATCCTTCAGGACCCTATCATAAAATTTATATTGACATTGATATATGAGAAGTTGAGAACTGAATACAAATTCTCGGGTAAGCTGTACATGAAATTGCATGTAAATACATATCCTAAAGTCCACATAAAATACTTCCAGCCTATTCAATTCTCCGAAGTTAATTGAGCAAAGTTCTTAGGCGTATGTAGGGAAGTGCATTTCTTTTCCTTTCTTTTTGCTGCATCAGTCTAATTGGTTAATTCAAAAGGCTAAAAAGTTACGGATCACATACTGAATTTAAAGCTGTTTTAACTTCAGCTGCCAGCTCTATACACAAACTACAACAAGTATTCAGATCAAGCAAAGGCACATCCACATTCAAGCGCATTACAGCAACCAAAGCCACACCAAAATCCATCCTCAAGATCTCTGATAGAGGTAGAAAATTAGATAGAGTGCAGGAAATCAGCAGCAGCAAATCAAATGATATCAAGTACATTACCTCCGAAACCCACTGCCCCAGAATCAATGCAACTTTCCTGTGAATGATTCGCATGTTTGGATGATCGTTTGTAAGTTCAAGAGATAATGCACCATTGAACCTAGATAACAGTTCCAGTAGAATGTTCAGTCATAAAACTATGCTGAAAAAAATGAAAACAAGTTGTAAAGGAAGTAGAAAGATCTCTTTTGGAATTAGCATGTAAAGCATAGGATAGATAATATATCTAATCATAGGGAAATCAATTAGACAGAATAAAAAATTTAACAAAGAAGGTTTTGAGTATGCATAATACAACAAAAACCGTCCTGAAGAAGGCTAGCCTGTGTATTGAATGTCAAACTGTCCTCCATTTCTACAAATGTAGAATGGTCATCAATAGAATGTTCAGGACAATTAACAACTCAATTAATTTACTTTTACCAGGGTTGGCATCAAATCATCAATGCATATACATTAATAAACAGGTGCTTTCAAAATGGAGCTGTGTGACAATAGAACTGTATCAAGACCTTTCCATACAAAATTGTTTCAACAGACGATAGGTTATTGCCAGATATTGGAATTTCCAGTAACAACATGGTCAACCAAATACGAGGTTGTCAATTTATGCAAGTCGAACATGATAAGCGGAAGAAAGGAAAATACCCACCAGTCCTTGAAGCTCACATAATTTGAGAGCTCATAATAAATATAAGCAGCAGCACCATAAGCAGCATCCTTGAGAAGCAGTGCTGGAGTCATTTCATTAACAGAAGAAGGGCAACCATTCATTGCCTCTTGAAGAATGGAAACCACAACAGGGCCTAGCAGCTGTAAATGTGGATGATAATAATCAGCAAACCACCACTTCACAACACATACTAAAAGGTTTATAGCTAAGTCTTAAAGAGTTAACATAAAGTTGAAGAAACCTACTTGGCTGTGATTCTCAAACAAAACAATGTACAAGGCTTCAGCACATGGCCTTAATCTCTCCGACCACAAAACTGAATCTTGTTCGTGATGAAAAGACTCGGGGTTCTGGTACCACTCTTCCAAATCACTTGGTGTTAAAACAAAATACCTGTTTCAGAAGTAATAGCAGCACTAAGAAGAAACATGAGAAAAGAGAAGTGACAGGACAAGAACAATATTTTATCCTAATTATATCCATCACTAACAGCACCCTATATAAATAGCGATATTATTCTCCTGTAAAAGACAGATTAAACGTGAAAGTCGAAAGAACAAGGACCAGACCACAAGTTCTCTAGTAAATGCAGAAGATCTTGAAATTTCAAACTTCCATTAAAAATTCTGATCATTCTAGAGTTCATGCCAGAAAAATATTCATCCAATCTCCCAAGTGTATTATTTAGATTTAGCCAAGAAAACAACAAATAGTTCACATACAAATCAGAAGAGACCCAATTAGAGATAAGGTCCTTTTTCATCTTAGGAGGAACAAGGTTCAAAGGTCTACAGAGAGAAAAATGTAGCCATTTTACCTTCTCTTTATGAGCATTTGATGCGAATTACAAGTCATCAAATATCCAAATCACAGGGATGAAATTCTCCAAGTTCATAACACAATACAGATTATTCGAAATCACATTTGAATCAGGTAGTATGCATTTGAATATGCTTGCAAGTACTATCCATAATTTATGAGAGAACAATCATATACAACTGTCAAGGTCCTAGAAGACAATAATTGTACTTGGCAAAATGAAAAAATCCAGACATAAAGAGAGAGACCCCTATCATTTCAGTTAGCTCCTGGTGGAAGCATTGTTCCAATCTATATGCATTACCAGAACCTATATCAATGCATAGAACTAAAATAAATTAAAAGAATAGGAATAATAATATCTGGATGACTTCATTCTTACCTCCTTATTAGCACATTACACAACAACACTACTCGTTCATCAGGCAAAAGGGTCGCAAGGACACCAGAAACTGCAGTAGATAGGTTTTTCTTCATCTGCTCAGGGGTGATTCTGTTGTCATCCATAACACGGCCAGTCAAGCGTGGCTTGTATTCTTTACATTCCAGAAGAGACTTTACCATTGACATGCACTGTATCTGAAATTCTTCAAATGAAAACATATCTGGTTCGGGATTTGTGATCTTATTTAAGCAAAAGTCAATGACAGGACCACAGACATTTTTGTCGCCAAATGAATAAGGATGTCTGCGCTGAATTGCAATTAGAATCTTCATTAATTTAGTGCATGCTTTCTTCAAGAACTCCCAGAATTTGGGATGTTTCTCTTGAAAAGATGAATCTGCAATTAAACTGTAAATAAGCGTACTTTCAAATGTCCACGAGAAAATTAAAAAACTCTTACTATGTAGTCAAATAAGTGATAATTAAAACACTTAATATGTATGACGCATTACTAATCCACTTCCTTCCAAAAGTTTCAGGAAGAAGAACACAAAGCTAAAATGCAATCGTATATGTAGTCAACATCTCTAACACATTCTTTTTGTCCATCCATTATATAAGAATAAAAACATCAAGCTATAACATGATAGCAAAATGATGAACTGAAAGGGTTAATTTATACATGGTAATGAAAGGTAGCTAAGGATACTGTGGTTTATATGTGTCGAGCAATGTACAATAACATAAAACCAAAAGATTTAAATAAAATAAAATACGTGGAGTAATCTCACAGTGTGGGAAAAGCGATTGGATGGCATTCAACAGGACTGTAGATATCTCCTTGACTGGCCGCACCTCCTAAAACCAATTAAGTTCTATTAATGCAAGAAAACCCTAATACATACTTTAAAAAGACTCAGAAAATGAGGAAAAATGTGAAATGAAGCATCAGGTGGAAGAATAACCACGCACCTGGACAGACATTGCATCACTTGGAAAACCAGAGACTATCAACTGACGTATAATTTTTGAACACAGAAACCATCTTTCACATGTTAGGTAAAGATCGTCAGGATGCAACTCGGAAGCATTTTGAGCAAGCATGGAAAAACCGTGCAATATTATCTGTGCATCGCTCTGCCAAAGGTGCCAGCTGTAATCGAAGAATTGGGACGCTATCTGGAAAATGAGTAACCATCGAAAATATCAAGTATATATGAGCATGATCCCTTATAATATATATCAATCTGCAGCAGGATAAAACAAATAAATTCTACAAGAAATCTAAGAAACATAAAAAGATATACATCAATTTTGATAGGAATTTGAACTGCATGGCCACAAGAGCCATTTTCTGTATGGAATAAATCAGTTCACTTCAATTCTATTAGAGATAATGTTTATAATTCAATTCTACTAATTTAAGACTTAGCAGCCCAGAGCTAAAGGTTTTGAAGCAGATATCTTAAATTGCTAGATTGACTCTCTCTATAGCACGCTGCATAAGCTGCCTACTGCCTACATATGATTCACTGGGATTACAGTACACTTGACTAATTGAGGAGGTTCTATTTACAGTTTAGTGGGAGAACGTGCCAGCCTCCCACATAGCAAGCTAGCTACATAATTATGTTTAGATAAGTTTTATGATCTGCTTGTATTGTTATAAAGATCTACAAACGCCAATTTTGAAATCCACTTGAACTAAAATAAAAGGTGATTGTGAATTTGTGCAAAACAAAAGGCGTTGACCTACAACATACATAGCATGTGACAATTACATTGTGTTTGACAACAGAAAGAGTGCACTATTTTATTCACTTTTCTATTACACAAAGAAATAAGAAAGTACAATATCTCGCACCTCAGCGAAGGTCCTCTGATCTGAAGTAAGGCGTTTAGTTGACAACTCCTTCAATGTCCGGAAAAGGATCATGAATATTCTATGAGAAGAAAGATTATCAGAAGATTGTAGCTGTTGTGCTAAGACAGAGAAGAGGTCTGGCCTGCATGCATAATAATTCATTAGTTTCAGTACACAATGGTGAAAACAATAAAGTATAATGTAGAATATACAAAAAAATCATATTTATAACATGACAACATAACTATGAATTTGCGGAAATCTCATGCCTTGAGAACAAGATGCCTTTGCCAAATTATTGAAGTACTAAGCATGCAAAAATCGTGCTTAGATCACAAAAATTATAAATATTTTGATCTCCATTCTTTATTTGTGGGCATCCTAAAATAAATTTTATGTCCTTCTTTCTATAATATGAACAAATTATTCCATTATTCTTCACTACTTGAATAAGCTAAATCAAGTCTTCCCTATAGAATTCTGGCAATTGCTTTGCTCAAAATATTAATCCCCTTTTGGCCCTATTTCTTAAAATTCATTTTTCCCCAAAGTCATTTTTCAACCACATATTTCATAGGATCCACAACTTTTATCAACTTTTCAACCACACATATGACCAACTTTTATCAAAATTCCCCAAAAATCTAATTTTTATCGAAACCAAACAGGGGCTAAGACTAGAAAGTAAATAGAACGAATGAAAACACAAACAATATTTTGACAATTATATATCATTAAGAAAAATTGGAATAGATGTCATACCATTCCTTTGGATAGTCAATACGAGCGATCTTTGAGATGATAACAGCCAATGTAAGAGCAATCTGTAATGTCCAAATTGATAAACAATGTGAAATTACAAAACCTAAGAGTGTTGTGATTAGAAGAGAAGAGAGCTACATCATTTAATATAAGAAATTCTTTAGAGAAGGCATCTCAAACCAACCATGATAAAAGAGTAGAATTTGATAGCAGTATGCAAATAATTTCACTTTCTAATTGGTAAGAACCTATAAACCATTATTTCTAGTCAACTATAAGTAACTATGCGAACCTTCAAATAATAAACATGAAATTAACAAACTTTACCTGATAATTCTCTTCTCTCAAATGTGACAGCAATTTTTTCTTCAAATGCAGTTTCTCTTCATTGCTTATACCCCTACAAAGGCACTTATACAGTTGGATCTGACACCTTTAAGTAAAGAATTCTATTTATGCCAGTAATAGAAGACACAAAGACAGAGAAGGCAACCAAACCCAAGGACCAAAACATGTGACTCCCTAATAAACAAAACCTTTGCAACTAATACATCATTTGTAAGCATTTCCGTGATTGAGAAAAAGATGAATGGTAACTACATTCGTCAAATTCATCAATCTGAGGGGCTTATTTCTCACCAAGATATCTGTTTTGTGAAAAATGCAATTTTTATTTATAAATAGGTATCACAGATTCACAGCCAAATATTCACAGCTCATGTAAAAAATTAAGCTATGTACTCTAATTTGGCATCTATTCCAAACGTTAAGTTTGTAGAGTGTGGAAAGAGATGCAATGCCAGCATTTGCAGCAAAAGCAACGGAAATGCATGAAATAAATAGATAAAACACATACGTGGAGTCACGCCTGTTCCTCCAATACCGACTTATACTATTCTTGAAATATACTGATGCCATTAATCGTACATCATCCTGGGATGCTAAATCCTTCGCTGTTATTACTTCCTGCACCATCAATATCTATGACTCAAACTCCCAAGTTTCAATTAAGAATGATACATACACACTAATTGTGCATTAACCATTCTGTACGAAAATAAAACCTGTGGAGAATGAGGGAAGAGAGAGTAAAAGAATACCATGAGGCAAGAACAGAAACCGGGCCGGCTTTCGGATTGCACGAGGGAATCTTCGGCTAGCTCCCGCACAGTTTGGTCACTGCTCAATGAATTGCCGAGCAATGTGTACATCGTAGGCAAGTCCGACGCTGATAGCGCCATAGTTTTCTGAAACAACGAATTTGAATTGGATTGCGTGAGCGCGTGCGATAGAGAGCGAGAAGACTAATGCCAGTGGCGATTTTTTGGATCGATCTGACTAGCAGAAAAGTGTATACAAGACGCGCCTGGGGTTTTCACTTCTGGCCAAGGTTTACGGCGAAAAAGAAGAGGGGTGATGGTTGATCCAGCGAAGGGTGGAGTAAGGGTAAAGCCTCTCGCCGGTGAGACTCTGAGCTGGAAATGGACCGAGGAAGATGATGCTGAGCTGGCTTCTTTTTTTGGGTATTTATAGCCGCCCGATTTTGGCCAACCTGGCTGCCTTAAGTCAATTGTTTTAGTGGCCATTGCACTCAACTCATCTTCACAGATTATTCATTGAACTTTGCAATGCCTCTCAATACTCATTGAACTTATCTCTGTTTCACTAAAATGGCCATTAGACAGATCCCGTCCGTGAACACATCTACGTGGACGACGGAATGTTGATTTGTCGTTGAAAATGGTAACCCCGTGGACACGTGGATGACAAATCACCCAAACAGACCCTTCGCTACCGTGAATATTTTCGAGTTCAATGACATGATTGGCCAAAAATTCAACCCACATTCAATTCTACTCTCCTGAAGAAACTGTAGCCCTAACATTTCCCCCAAATTCAAATCTTCTGCAAATGTGTCTCCACCTTCGCAATTTCCTCCCATAGACCTGAAATTCCAAAACCTTATCCCAAATCGATTTCGAACTGAGTTAAGGGGATTATCTTGCAAAAAATCGCTAATCACCATGACCCCACATTGATCCTGGATTCACTATTGGTTCGTCTAACTCATTTCTACACCTGTACAAACACCCAAACCCACTTCTGCTCACTTACATTTTGCTATAAATCCAAGAGTTCCCTTCCAACTTAAACTTCTCTTAGCTCCAAAACGCGAGTGTAGATTTAGCTGCCTGATTCTAACTTCTCTCTGCACATGGATGAAGAAGAAAGTGAAGGTAACTTTTCCAGAATATGATTGATCTTGTTTCGTAATGTGAAGGCGTGATATTAAGACAAAACGTTATTGCTGCAGTTTTTGTGAATGGCAAGTGTATGTATGACTAGGCCAAAAATAAAACTCCACTTTATCCATTCAATTCAATGGTGACTTAAGAATAATTTCTTACATGTCACTTATTAAACTATCTAATTATTCTTAGAACACAGAGATACCAAAGCATTCTATTAATTTTTTTGGAATGTATTGATGAATTTGAAATAAAAATGTCTTAGGCAACGCTTGAAATCAAATGTTAAAGGTGTTTAATTTTGCATTTGAAGTGATCGTGAGTTCATTACTTTTGAAGGTTTGAATTCTAAATGGTTGTTCTGATTTTGTGATAGGTTATGTTGAAGATCCAAATTTCGTAGATTCTAATAACAACGTTGCATCTGATAAAGACTACATATTGTATGATAGAAATGTGACAGATGAGATTGAGGCGAGGTTGGATCGATGTGGTAGGGGAGTGGAGGACGAACCGATCGAGGGTAATGATATTGAAGTAGATGATTTGAAATATCCATCGTCGGAGGACCTATTGTCCTAATGCTCCTCCGACGAAGAGAGTAGTTATCGATTTCCTGAATTTTCTTTCGATTCAGGAATGAAAAATCCAAATTTTGAGGTTGGACGACTATTTAGCTCTGCAATTGAGTTCCGGAAGGTGGTAAGGACATATGGTACGATGAATGGATATAATGTAAAGTTTAAGGTAAAAGAGGACGGAAGAGTACAATGGGCTTGCAAACTAGGGTGTACATTGAGGATATGTGCATCTGCATTTGATGATTCTGAGAGACTACAGGTGAAATCTTACACAGCAAAACATACATGTAGTCGCAACCAATTTAACAAACATTGCAATTACATTTTTTTTAGCAAAACGGTATATTGAACAATTCAAAGCAGACCCCGAATGGAACACAGAACTTATTTTGGCCACGGTAAAAAAAAAAAGATTTTCGTACAGATATTAGTCGAAATTTGGCATGGAATATGAGAAGATATGCCAAGGAGATGTTGGTAGGGACTATACAAGATCAATTTAGGCTTTTGAGGTCCTATGCAGCTGAGGTGCTACGAACAAATGTTGGGTCTACCGTGATTATCGCATTACGGCAACATGTGTTTTAGGGGATCTACATTTGTTTCAGCTGTTGTAAAACAGGATTTAGGTATGGTTGTAGGAAGTTGGTCAGAGTTGACGGTTGTCACCTTGGGGGTTGTTTTGGAAGAATATTGCTACTGCAGTTGTCCTAGATGCTAACGATTGTATATATCCAATTGCATATGCTGTCGTTGAAAGAGAGAACACGAATACTTGGAGATGGTTTATGAAGTATCTTGCAGATGACATTGGGATTGACAACTGCATATGCTGTCGTTGAAAGAGAGAACACGAACACTTGGAGATGTTTTATAAAGTATCTTACAGATGACATTGGGATTGACAATGGTAGAGATTAGACATTGATGACGGACATATAAAAAGGTTTACAGAATGTGATAGAGGAGTTGTTTCCTGAGGTTGAGCACAAGTTCTATGTACGACATATGTACACGAACTTCTTCAAACGAGGTTTTAAAGGAAAAAATCTTAAAAATTACCTATGGCGCGCTGCGAAGTCGACAACTGTTCCTAACCATCGACATTGGATGCAGCAGATCAGGTAACTAAACAAAGATGCATACAAATGGTTGATGGAAAGGCCTCCACAAGAATGGAGTATGTCTCATTTCTCTGTTCATGCCAAGAGCGACATCCTTTTAAATAATGTTTGCGAAGTGTTCAACAAGAAATGACGAAGTGATAGGAGAAAATGATTATTACAATGCTTACTTCAATTCAATTGAGCTTCATGACTAGGATTACCCAGCGTCGAGACAAAATGATAAGGTGCATTGGTCGTTTGTGTCCTAAGATCAATAGAAAACTTTTCAAGAATTTCGAAAAATCTCGGGAATGCACATTGCACTTATCTGGAGGGCCTAAATGGTAAGTCGATTTCCAAGAATGAACATGTGAATGTAGAGAATGGGAACTTACTGGGACGAATATGCTAATGCAGCGGGTAACGAGCAGGTAAAGATTTAATCAGTCCTTTATTTCTTTATAGGAATGTAGTCTTTTGCATCATTGAGTTAATTGTTGATTTATAGGAAAACATGGTAGGCAAAAGATTTATCGTCATCGACCCACAACCCGGTTGAAGGACAACAATTCCAATTCATGCCTACACCCATGCAGTTAGGGAAATGCAAACTGACTATGCAACATCTGGACCAGCTGCTACTTTACCTAGTGTTAACGTTCCTACCACTGAAGTTAATTTTGAAGTGATGGTCGATGAATTGCAAAGCATTAATGCAGCGGAAGCCTCCAAGTTGAGGGCAGACACGACACGAAAAAAAAAATGCAATATTTCAACGACCACATCCTAGAGTGAAGCTTGGCAACAGTTGACTTTAGTATAGATGTTAATGTAAAGCCCAATGATTTGTTTAGTATGTAGGTGGCTGTTTTGGTTAACTGTTGAATTTTTTTGGGTTTTTGAAGCAGTTAAAAATAGATGCTTTAGTGTAGATGTTAATGCAAAGCCTAAGGATTTAGGAATTCTGTTGGTGGCTGCTTTTTTTGTAATAATTGAATTTTTTTTTTTTTTTGAAGCAGTCAAAAATAGGTGCTTCAGTATATACATTAATGCAAAGCCCAAGGCTTAAAATTCGTATAAATTCTGCTTGTCTCAGTGCAATATTTTAGTGGAAGCAAGATTTGTGTACATAATATAACAGCTTGTCTCTCTTTTTCTTTTGTTTTGTTTTCCCTTTGCGATTTTCTTGATGCATCTTTGTATGTACTCTCCCAAAACATGACTAGTAAGCTGATAGTTGCTCGCAATGCCATCACCTAGAGCTTCCACATTTTGGAGAGTGCNCTAGAGCTTCCACATTTTGGAGAGTGCCTCAAGTCTACCCTTTGATCCATTACAAGTAAGCTGTCGTCATAATATGTGCATTCTGTTCGATTCCTAGTCACAACCCAGAAAAGTTAGCAAATATTTGATATATCCTAGATTTCATGCAGCCAAGATGAAGATTTCTATATAAGGTTATCAAATCAAATTGTGCTTGTAGGGTCATCATAAGCAAAGCTATAGGCTGCAGGGCATGAAGTTTGGAATATTCTTGAATAATTTGTAGGCACACATACCATAGGGGTGCAAAATGCACCCCTGAGCAATATTCGTCAATTTTGAATATATTGCACGCACTTTGGCAAGTAAATGGCCAACAATCAAGTGAAGTTTCACATCTTAAATCAACACTTTCAATGAAGGCAATAAACTGAAGCTAATGTAAAGATTGATAATCCTTAAGGAACTTGTAATGGCCATCAAATTTAGATGTTAGCCAAGAGCTCTTATAAATTTAAATCAAGCTCCCATAATAGCATTTCCAAGATTCATAACAAAACGTGGGGCCTCATTACAATTACATAAACAGCAAAACAAAAACTTCTTCAACATAGTTGGAAGAAATTTATGGAACTCTTCCATTTCCTTTCCCGTTGTCCTTGGTAGCTCATTTTCCCTTGCAAATCGTTATGTTGATAGATATCTCCAAATTTTCTTCTTCTTTTTTCTGAACAGCTGTCTTCAATATAGACGACAAATCTTCTATTGGATCTTTCATCTTCGATTTCACACTGGACTCAGCATCAAATTGCAAAGGTGTTTCTTGCGACGACAATGGATCATCGTTCCACTTAAAATAACCACAATCTCTAGTACAACATAAGAATAAACAACCTATGTTTTTGTCTTTTTTTCAACCTCCATACATTTCACAAAGCCCAATCCTCATTCTCGACATCGTGTCTTTGTTGGGCAATTCGACAACATGTGCACGCGCTTTCTACAACTATGACAAATACATTTGTTTCTCCGTGACATTCTA